GTTGACTATTATTTATCTAATAGAATTGTTTAGGAAATTTTCTTGTAGCTTTAGGATTACTCCTTTGATATATATTTTTTCTTTTCCTTTTTTCACTAAATGAGAATTCAGGACTGTGCCGGACCTCAAAATATGCTGTTCTTATATTTCTCTTCAGTGACAACCAGCACCAATTCAGAAAGCAGGTTTTATCCCTCTCTCCTTGTAACATCTTGTTCCCATTATCTGTCCAGTTACTATATGTGTGGATTGTGTAAACAGACCTATCTATAAACTCAACATGTTCCAAAGATGTGGATGGAGTCTATAATAATATCTGACAGGTTTGAAAGCAACTGTAGTAGGCCTTGAAAAGGAGGTTCTAGATTAGTGCAGTCTTTTTTTTAAAAAAAAATGATACACAAAACATGGCAAGTGCAATTGGAAATCCTTTCACAGTTTTATGTTTGGAACACCTGAGCCTGTGGTATTCATGGGTGAGTTAAGACAAATAAAATGACAGTCAATCTAAGAGTCCTCCTCTTTTGAATGTTTGCCAGTACAAACATTCTTTCAGACTTTCAAAAATATAGTGAAGACTTAGCTCTTTTCCCAGGCCTTTGGGCTGATATGAGCAGAGTTCCTAATCAGATGACTTATGGTATATTTTAGTTCTGGCTTACCATGTCATTGTTTTGGTTGATTTTTAATGATTTGGGGAGGGGCATTTTTCATTTGTTATTAATTATTTTGGTACACCGCCTAGATGATCTTGTGTGAGCTGAGTGGCCATATAAATGCTTTACATAAATAAAAAGCCATCATATATATGTATGTATGTATGTATGTATGTATGTATGTATGTATATGTGTGTGTGTGTGTGTGTGTGTGTGTATACGTATATGTTTTCTGAGGTTTTCGCGGGTGTTTGTATGTAGGTCTTTGGTTATTTGGGTTTTCTCCTGCATCAAGTTGGAAGTGTCTTGGCGATGTTTTGACAAAGTCTCATTCGTTGTATCCAAAGGAAGGCAGTGGCAAAGGAGAAAGGAACCTGAATAAAGAAGGGCGAGAAGCATCGGCCAGCTGAGAGCCTCGGTGTCTGAAAGGCTGCTTACACAAGAAGCACAAAGCCGAAAACACCAGCCTGAAGATGACGAATGGGACTTCGTCAAAATGTCGCCAAGACACTTCCAATTTTACGTGGGAGAAAACCCGAATAACCAAAGACCTACATACAAACACCCGCGAAAACCTCAGAAAATATATGTGTGTGTGTGTGTGTGTGTGTGTGTGTGTGTGTGTGTGTATTCAAAGGGGCAGGGCTTCAATTGCATTCCACAATTACCACCTTTCCTTTTTTTTTAGCCCCCCCCCCAATTTGGCACATATCACCAAGTTGAACCACAAATCAGTTTTTTAAAAAATATTATGTGTCCTAGAGTACTCCTGTAGGAAAAAATTGAAGAAACCCGAGACTGCTCCTATGGTTCTTTGGAACAGCTTATATTATATATGGAAATGGAAATTCTTTTAAAACAGGGATGACATTTTATAATATAAAATATGCCTATAAACCAGGGGTCCCCAACCCCCAGTCCGTGAACCAGTACTGGGCCATGGCATGCCAGCAACTGGTCCGCATAAACAAACAAAGGCCCATCTGCAAGATGCAGGCACCCTCCATTCCGTGGAAAAACCTTTCTCCACGGAACCAGTTCCTGATGTCCAAAAGGTTGGGGGCCTTTGCTATAAACAATTACAGATGGCAGAAAATAATGCAACTCAACCTGCAAGAAAAGTAAAATATTTTCTAGAGAAAGAAGGTAAAACTTTAGCAACATGGACAGAGTAATAGTTAACAGAAAAAAATCCTGCATACTACTATGTTATGGCTCATGAAAAAAATATAGTGAATACTCCCTTTTGAGCTATTATGAAGTTATAGTTGGCATGAAATTAAACAGATTTTTTTATTCGTACCTAAAAAACATTTTAAATGTGTCTGTTTCCTCAGACATAGTTTTAAAAGCTTGCTATAGTGATATCATGATGCAACTTAATGAAACAAAAGGGATTTTCAATCAAGATAATATCTGCTGCCAAAGTTGCTATAACTAAAATTTAAATATAAAAATTAGTATATCTAGAAAGACTGCCACAAGTTTCAAGAAACCATAAAACTTTATGCATTCATAGACGCTCTATTTTCCACTGGAAATCAACTAACAAAATCAAAAATAAGATATCAGTGCCTTACATCAACTAATAAAAATGCCAACATGATAACAAATCTGCTACAATAAAATTTTGGAGTACATACTTATTTATCCAATCTCCCTGGTTTTCTCAACACTGTCACAGATTAGATCTGGAAACAACACTCAGGTCTACCTGGGCCACTTGCATAAAACATTCTCATGCTTAACAAATTTTGAATAATTTAACAATCTCGTTTAACTTAACTCTTTAAATCTTCACATTGATTATTCAGCTTTCAAATTATATGAAAATGTTGTAATTTAACATCAGAAAAAAGTACTCATTACACTTTGACAAGCATATCAATTCAAATTCTGCAACTATATCATCATAACTGAACTACATCCCAGAATAAATCCCAAAGGAATTGTAAACATCTAATGCCCTAAATCAAGAAAGAAAGAAAACCTGTCTTCTGCTGCTTTATGCTTCTGGATTAAGATGTAATTTAAATCATTTTCATCTTCAGCAGCATTACATGAGATCTAGAATCGTAGAGTGAGAAGGGACTGTTTAGGCCAGGGGTGGGGAACCATGGCCCTTTTATGTCTTGTGGACTTCAACTCCCAAAATTTCTAAGCCAGAATGGTCATAAAGTCCACAAGTCATAGAAGGACCATGGTTCCCCAGCCCTGGTTTAGGCTATTCTAAAAGTCCAGTAACATTTCAATAGGAGTTGAAATTAAAACATGCTCAATAAACAACTGCTTGAATGCATTCACTGAAGGAAAGACTATTCATTAATATCATGTTCCTCATGTTAAGACATTTTTCTTAATACATGTCCTTCCTATAAGTTAAATATATTGTTCTGTATCATGTCCTCTGAAATATTGAATATAAAATAAAATCAATTTTCCCTTTGATTTTTGTATTTTTCTTATCCTTCTCATTTAATTGTTGTTATCATCAATTTCTTTGGAATGATTGGTGACAGAATCTACCTATTTATCTACTCAAATTTGCATGCTTTCAAACTGCTAAGTTGGCAGGAGCTGGGACAAGGACGGGAGTTCACCCCGGCACATTTTCCTTGGGTCTCGAACCTGGGCTGCAGGCTTTCCAGCCGACAAGCCCAGCATCTTAACCATGCTTCCCTCTATGTTGCCTTCACTTGCTTGATTTTTGCAGTTTATAAATTGAATATCTTTTATAATAAATTTAATATATTCTTTAATAAGTTTAAAAAGGTTTTATCTTTGTAAAACCAGATCCACATACAGAAGACAGTTCCAGAAGTAAAAAACTGACAAGAATCAGAAACATCTTTTTTTTTTAAAGATATTTATCTTTTTTCCTTTATTTTAAAACATTTTTTCTTCAACAGACAAGTTTTGGGCATTACAGTTTTTCATGAGTTACTGTACGACTCGGGAATGGATAAACTTTGGATGAGCAAAGGTTGCACGTAGGCTGTGAAGTAAGTGAAGCAATTTTACAACTATAGGTGGGGGTTGTGGTTTCCGTGTAACTTGGTTGAAATTTCTTTATTATTCTAATTGCAGTATGTCTATGATTAGGACTTGAAATATAGCATCGTATTTCTGTGTCTTATTTGGTTTGTTGATCGATGACCAGATGGGATCCAAGAGTGATAAAAAGGAACCAATTTTGAAGACTGCATATTGCCCATTAATGCAAAATCAGTATTTTTTTTATATTATTATGACTGGAAGAATCACAATAGGAAGATAATTTTGTGAATGGTAGTATACAAAATGATTTTCACATTGGGAATGGTACTTGTTGATTAACTGGATAACACTATATATTAGGAAATATTATGATCCATCTAATGTTTATTTTGAATTCATGAAATTCCTAAAGCTGGTTCAAAGTTACTTAGCTCCACAACAACAAAAACCATTCATTTCCAAAACATGCTTTATTAACAAAATATCTGAAATTTCTTGTTTCAGCATTCTGCCCTTTCTCCATAATTAATTTTGAGACTTAGTCCTTTTGTAAGCCAGACACTTACTGAAATTGCTCTTCTCTTAATTTTTTTCTCCTCTGACTTTCTGGTTGTCATCTTTGTAAATTCTGGATTAATAAGCAAAGTATTACACAAGCAATAGCATCATCAATACATATTTCACTCTAAACATTAAGAAGAGACCTGTATATACAGAAAAGAATTGTGCAGATTTTCTTTGGTACAAGAAATTGCTACTAAAATTTAGCCCTAATGCCACAACTGAAATTAAATCAAACTCAGGCTATGTATAATTTTAGCTGGGAGTTGTTGCACCAATTTTCCACAATGCAACATTTACAACAGTTTCTACTAAGAAAACTAGATTGGCTAAGTCAGAGGCTGGTATTGGCTGCATTGTCCAAAACATATTAATATCTGTAGGGTATGGTTAAAATAAATCATGATGGCAGCCACAACTGTCCGCCTAAATATCCTGTGACACACGTGCTAAAATACCTCCAGACTTGTAGAATCCCTCAAATAAGTTATATGTAGCAGGATTACATGAAGGAAAACTTGCATTACACATTTTATTAGCATAGGTTTATATTCAAAATTAGGTTAGGGATATCATATAGAAAAACTTTACAAACTAGGGAAAGAGAGTCTTTTTTTAAAAAAAACCATAATTTTAAAATTATGACAAACCAAAATACTATTATTAAACTGGAAAGTAAAACTATCCAGTTTTAAACTGATTCACACATTCATATTCCAGTATGCTTCCCACATAAGCTATGCAGAATACTAGAAGATTAAAAGATTAAAAAGAATTATACTCACAGTTATAATTAGGTTGAATAGTTTTTGCAGCTTCAAGGCTGGCTATTGTGATTTGAAAGATGATGTGCACAAGCAGAAATGTTAAACTCATGAAACACAAGGATTTTAATAACCGCCCTGTATGCCCTGAAAGATATAAAACACAATTTGAAATAATTTAACATGATAAAAGGCCTGATGTAGACAAGATTGCAACATTAACTGTATTATGTGTCAGATTCTCTTGCTTGTAGTTTTGTTTTTAATCTGTATTTATTATTTGTTTTTAATTGTTTTTGTAATATGTTTTATTTCTAGGTGTTATTGTATGCTGCCCAGAATCAATTTGTTTGAGATGGGCAACCATATTAATTTGACAAATAGATTTGACAAATAAATAAATTAACACATACTGGTATAAATTGTATTAAAAAGCACACAATAAAATCATAGATATTACAATGCATGCTAAAATGCATTGTGCCAAACTTCATGATAAAGAAATTGAGAGATAAAAGGAAAAAAGTTCACAACCACATGTCAAATTCCAAATAAAAATATATGAAAAGAATAGAATACAAATTAAAATGACTTAAGAAACGATTAGCTTTTATTTATTGTTCACACTATTCAAAATACATTCAAACAATTTATTATTTATCTACATATTTCACTGGAAATCAACCAAGCATATAAATTAAATATTTAGTAGGACTGGTGATCTCTAGATGACCTTGTTCAATAAATTCACATCTATCTGAATACTATAGGTGACATATGGATACATTTTATATAAATATTATAATGATGAATATATAAATAAATTTAAAACAAAGAAATATTTTGACTATTGCCACAGTGTTATTCATAAATACACTTCCTGAAGAGATTCTAGGAAATCTCTGTAGCAATTTCATATACAGGTAGTTCCTACTTAATAACTACCTCATTTGGTGACCATCTGAACTTACAATGGTGTAAAAGCAGCTTTGCAACCTATCCTCACATTATCGACCATAACAGCATCCCAAAGTCATGTGATTGCCACTTGGGTGCTTCTCAGCCAGCCCACATTTACTACTGTTGCAGCGCTCCCGCTCATGTGATCCCAATTTGCATGCTTCCCAAATGGATTCCGACAACAGATTTACTAGAAGAGACAGAAGTAAAATTGTAAGTCATGGCCACATGATGTCTTACTTAACAACCACAGTGATTGTTTAACAAACAAGAAGTGACATAATATGCCCATTGCAATTACATGATTTTTTTTTTGCTTAGCAATCATGGAGCTTAGTGACATAGTTGCTGATCTCAATTGTGGTTGCAAAGTGAGAACTATCTGTGCAGCTTACAGCTACCCTTCTTGATTTAAAGCAAGAAATAGCAACTAAATGCAAAATATTCAGCTGCATTAAATGAGGAATTCTATCTGAATTATATACTATAGGCAACAACAACCATTGTTAACAACACACAATGAATCAACAAATTTATACTGTTTGGGGATTGGCAACAGTTATTTTTTTTCCTGCAACCAAGCTGCATATTTATAAAGTAATATTTACAAAATCCCTACATATTCAAAACAATGTTATCTAGAGTTTCTGAGCTGCACAATTTTTTTCTCCACACATATGAAACAAGTAGAGATATATAAATGGCATAAAAAGTAATAAATGAATAATGGATAATTATTTATCCATTCCATTAAATGGGATAATCAACATTGGGACCAGTGCAGACAGGAAATATTTTAAGCTCACAATAGAAACCCAGATAGACCAGCATGCTAAATAATAAAATAATATGCGCAACCTGATCTCTGCAAGGATAAAAATCCATCATGCTATGGAAATGGTGTGGAAGGAATATATAAATATGAACTGATATAATGACTTCAAGTTAGCACCAATGTTTTTTATTTAAATATTAGTCAGCATTATGAATACAAAATGAAAAGTCAAAGGAAAGAGTCTGTTCAGTCAAAGCAGCAAGCAAAAAAGTAACGGATTTTTACAGGCTGCAGTCCTACACAAACAGAAATGGACATTCAGTATTTGATTTGTTTCCAAATTAATTTGAATATGATCAAGTTGCAATTTACCCATAGAAATGGGAGATTCTCTGTGTCAAATAGCCTAATATCTCCAACTTAGGTCATCATAAATCAGTTTCAACACAATTTCGTCTGCGCATTTTTAAAATTTTGTGAATGAATGAATGTATGATTGAACTAATGACAAATTTCCATGGAGCTGTCCATCTCTAAGAAGAGATATAACAGGGGAGGGAACAAGTGAAATAAATAGCATCCTTATTTGGGTAGATAGAAGGGAGAACTGTATCTTCACTTGAGGCAACTAAAATTGAGTGTCTTCATAGTTGGCAAAGTGGTATAAAAAACAAGCTTCCTCCAACTGAAAATCCTTAAGTTTTTATTCTAGAGTTAAGCTTCCTTGTGATCTTTTGGCTAGAGAAGTAACAAAGTGAACTCAAATGTTTTACGTTTCTAGCAGAGATGAAATGAAGCTTAACAATTAATGAATAATCTCTAGTAACCTGGAGAACAATGGTAGGTCCTTAACATCTGGAAAGTGCTGGTACATTGCATTTATGAATGGTCTTATGGAGGAAATTTTCCAGCTTTTTTTTTAGTATGCTTAAATTATTTGTTCACCAACACATAGTATGCTTGTTTCAGGGTTTACTCTATAGTTGCCATGTGTTCTACAACCAAATCACAGCATAGATTTTGAGCAGTCATGATCAGAAGAGAACCATGAATATCAGAGAAATGAACGTAGCACAAGTTGGCCATGTTGGTATAAAGCAGTGGTTCTCAACCTTTTTAATGCTGCAACCCCCAACTGGTCGTAAGTCAAGGACTACCCAACCGGTCGTAAGTCGAGGACTACCAACCGGTCGGAAGTCGAGGACTTTCCCTGCCCGGGAACGCCGCGCATGCATGGTGCCGCCCCCTGCACCGGCCGAGGCGTAGCTGGCAAGTGGCAGAGACGGCGCAGGCCGACCATCGGCTGGGCCACCAGCTGGCCCAGCCCAAGGGAGGTAAGGCACCCGCTGGTCCCATGTGCGCCAGCAACCCTCCCTGCGCCCGCCGGCCTCCCACCTCCCATCCCTGTCCTTACATTTTTAGTAGTTGCTCAGCAGGGAGGGGTGGAAACTTCCAGACAGCTCGCCTTCGCTGCAGACAACTTGCAGCACCGTTTGCAGAATGGGACTTCTGGCGGGCTCAGCAGGGCAGAGACAGCCTGGACAATTCCTATTGGCTTTTGAAAGCCAATAGAATTAGACTCTATTCAAGAGAGTCTATTCTATTGGCTTTCAAAAGCCAATAGAATAAAAGGGAGTAGCACAGCTAAGGAAAAGGGGGGAAAATGGCGGACTGCGTTGTTTGGCGACCCCCATGAAATGGTCGTTCAACCCCAAATGGGGTCCCGACCCACAGGTTGAGAACTGCTGGTATAAAGAAATGTTCGACAGCATATTTACAGCTATGTACAATGAAGCCTACAATTGGTTCCACACCTAATTATGCAACCAAGGTTAATCACATAATCACTACAGATATAAGCATTACACACTGAGGTATAACTATACAATCACATAATCACTACAGATATAAGCATTACACACTGAGGTATAACTATACCTTAAGCTAAACTAAACTATTATGAATTTTTTTTTATTAACTTTTAGGATCGCTTCATCTTGGAAAATACTGGATATCTAACTGATAAGCATTTTGAAGTGTTTTACATCAAGCCCTTTGCTATTTAAATTCTAGCATTTAGAAGATTTACCAAATAAATCCTTCAAACTCACAGTATAGTTCTCTGAGCTCTGGAGAAGGGAAAAAAATAATATTCAGTACAAATGAAGTTGTAATTATTTCAGAGAAGCTGAGCAATGAGATGCAGTTGCTCTTCTTTCCTTCCTATGGTGGAATATAGTCTGGTTTCCCAGGATGGAAGGGCTGCTTCCCGGAGGGCAAAAAAGTAGTGGAATATGGAATTTCTGGTAGGCAGGAAGAAAGCTAACATGCCCCCTCCCCAGCAGTTCACACAGTATAGCTATAGTTAAGTAGATAGTTGCTTTAGCTGGCAAGATTCTGTCAATAGGTAAACAACAATAAAGACACTATTCACTTTTAAGAGCCTATATTAGGACTTATTTAGTGGTGATATGAGCGGCAAAACGTTCGCATTTTTCCGCACTTATTGCGTCTGCAGAATCTCGCCCCGCCGCCCTGTTTAGGGTGACCTGTTCCCTACTTAATGTTCGGGAAGCCAGGGAGCCCTTACAGGGTAGGGCGGAAGAATTTGTGCAGTTTCTATCAGACAAAATCGCTTGGATTCGGACAGACCTAGACTCCGATTGGGCAGGGCCTTCTGAGATGACCGGGACAGGTCTTAGCCCAGTTTTATGGGATTAATTTGAGTTGGTGACTGCTGAGGATGTTGACAGAGTGGTGGGAGCGATGAGCGCCTCCACTTGTTTATTGGACCCGTGTCCTTCCTGGTTGGTCTCGGCCGCCAAGGAGGTGACACGAGGCTGGCTCCAGGTGTTGATCAACGCTTCGTTGAGGGAGGGGTCTTTCCCGCAACCCTTGAAGGAAGCGGTTGTGAGGCCTCTTCTTAAGAAGCCTACTCTGGACCCGGCTGATTTAAATAACTTCCGTCCAGTCTCCAATCTCCCGTTTTTGGGGAAGGTTGTAGAGAGAGTGGTGGCGCTCTAGCTCCGACGGTCTCTAGATGAAGCAGATTACCTAGACCCTTTTCAATCTGGCTTCAGGCCCAGCTTCAGCACAGAAACTGCTTTGGTCACGCTGATGGATGATCTCTGGCGGGCCCGAGACAGGGGTTATTCCTCTGTCTTGGTGCTACTTGACCTCTCAGAGGCTTTTGATACCATCGATCATGGTATCCTTTTGTGACGACTTGGAGGGGTGGGAGTGGGAGGCACCGTTTTACGGTGGTTCTCCTCCTACCTCTCTGGTCGGTCACAATCGGTACTGGGGGGGCAGAGGTCAACCACGAGGCCCCTTGAATGCAGGGTGCCACAGGGGTCGGTCCTCTCCCCCCTCCTACTTAACATTTACATGAAGCCGCTGGGTGAGATCATCA